ATGCCTGATTCCGCACCAGAGGAATACAAGAAACTTGCCGAACGGTGTTGTGATGCTGATCCTGATAAGCGTCCAGACGCAGATACAATTTGGGATGATATTCGCATGCTTATTATAAGGTTGGAAATCGACGATTCTGGCATATGGAATGCCGTTCATCATAATGATGTAAGACCCTTATCACGTCTCGAGAAGGAGAGTAAATATTCTAGTACGCTCTTACCTACTGGAGATCTGCCTAAACCGACAAGCAGTTATGATATTGTTTATAAATAAAATCAATATTAACATCGTCTACTGCTTATGATTTAGTGACTCAAACCCTCTTTGAATAAAACATGTAATTCGCGGTTTATTTACAGTTTTACTCGAGGGTTTACTCTTCTTCCAATTAAATAAATTAAATATGTCAATATTAATATGTGTTGAGTTAAAAAGATATCGAAATAAAATCGTGCACGCTTAATACTGTTAGCTGTCTTTGCCATTTGAATATATAAGAAAATATAGTAATGTACATTATTTAAAGTCTTAATGAGTTCGTTCCCGTAACTATAAAGTTTAACGGGTGTCCAACAACATAAAACTTGCCATACACAAGTGTGCGAAATAATGTTTTGTTTGCGCCATTCCTCAGCATACCTCCACTGACAGATTTGGCAGGTAGGTAATTTAAGGGAGAGGTAGTGCTCATAAACTCTTGCCAAATACAGTGGAAAGATTTTTTTTTATTGTTTGATAAATCAATAATATAAATAGCACAATTACTGCAACTGATTGAGGGGAGGTAGCTAATGAGAGCACCCTCAATACCGTTACAATAAAAATATGTAATTATGAGATCATTAATACTCGTAGAATGTTTAATTACTTATGTCTAGTTGATTACTTATGTCTAGTTGTTATTCTTCTATAATGTAATAAATGCATCTCTACCAAAATTATAAGCAATCACTTGAAATTTTAACTGCATCATTTCAATCTAGTTAATATATAAAAGGTACTAGTACTTGAGTAAAATATGCAGTCTACATATAGTCGTACCCTGAGCCAAAACGGTACATGTATGGGTATTTGATCACCTGATCGAATCGCAGGAATCATTGATATTATGTTCTGAGCATATTTACATTTGTGATGTGTTATGCCGAGAATATTAATATCAAAGTTAAAGCTGAGAGAAAGAACATAAAGCCAGAACAGAGGGATAAAGACGAGACCAATTTATGGTTGTAGGGTTTTGATTCAGTATACCTAGATCAGTTACAGATCAATATACGGAGTGTCATTTTGATGACACAAATGCGTTATGACACTCAAAATTGCGTATTATCTCCTACAAGCTAGATTCTATCGTTGAAAGCGTTCTAATGTTGTAATAATGTATGGTTGCAATAGATTTATTCAATGCTAATCATTTCAAGCAACATTCATATTACATAAAATACTACAACAATTATTAAAATAAACTCATTCACTAGGAGCGGCTGAGAATGAGTATAAGGAACTCGTATTGAAATTTATAACTACAGCCGCGCCTCGATATAATCAAACCATCGAAAAGTGTGACTATATCAAATTGTGCCTATATAGAGGTATTTTTTCATAAGCTCTATATTAATTGGTTTTAAATGTATATGACTATAAAAATTTTGTGCTTATCGTTATATAGAGGGCTTTTTATATGGGTTTCATATAATGTGACTATATCGAGTGTGATTATAACAAGGTGCGATCTTCGATTAAGGTTTATTATTAGTTGTTGTTCTAATAATTACTTGTTTGCTTAGGAGGCTGAATTAAGCTGGATAAGCCAGCTTACGAAAGTTAGAGTAATATCTAGCTGCAGATTATCAGACTAAACAGGAAAGAATGGTTCGATTTTCGGTAAAAAATATATTTTTCATTTTTAAATAGCGTTCAAACATGCGTATTAAGTGAATTGGAGCAACGGGTAATCGTCGTTATTGCTGTGTCAATTAGTCTATAATAATACATGCGTCTTCGAAGATAAATTAACCCAATTTGTTGGTTTTTTTTTTTTAAATAATTCTCTTGTTAGATAGATGTTAGAACATGTAAGTGATGTAAACTTATACGAGATGCGAAGATGGTTACTCTTCAAACAATTCAATTTATAGTTAAATGTTTAGAGCAGAAAGTATTCGTAATTGAAAGTTTTTCCTATTTGACAAAATGGAAATTGACCTTACGAAGATCCAACTTAAGTAAACTGATCATTAAGCTTCACCTCGCAGACCCCATGCAAGCTAACGAGTTTCTGTTTATTTCTGATGAGCTAGTGATACTAACAATGACATTAAAAGAATACGTTGCATTATAGACTATCGAGAGCTATTAAAATTTAGGTATTCTTTTTTTTCCTTTTTAACAAAAATAAATTAAAGTCGTTGAAAACTATTGGATGCGACTAAGCGCGCATGCAAACTTCATACCCTCAACCTTGCTTGTATCCCAGATGGGAAGAGGGGTAGCTGCGATGACTTAGAACAAAGGGAATTTACGGCAGGGACAATACATGAATGATATGTTTGTGTTTATAGGATTTAAACGTCTGATTTATATGTATAGGAAATGATTCCAGTTTGAAATAAAAAGCAATAAATAAAAAAGGTTGTTACAAAATATCGTATTCGTGTTAGTATAATTTTAGACAAATACGCGAATTTCTGCGCATTGATTATCATTGGTCACATTCTGCATACAGGGGAACAATAGTTACATTGTGAAAAGGTTCTAGAATTAAGTAAGCCACGCGGACATACCAAACTAGAATTATTCAGTGAATAAAACTGCTTTATATTCCACGTGAACATGAGGTGGTTTATCCATAAACTTGAACACTAAACCTGATTCTTCAGCATATTTTGGCGATCTTTGTTCAACAAAAATGACCTGGGAGCAAGCCAATGCTAAACTAATCACTCTTTTCCCCGACGAAGAGGAACGCGGCAGAATAAGGGGCATTCTTTTGAGCAAGCCGTTGAATGAACGCTTAGAGTATTTCGAGGGAGGAGATAAGGAGATTGTTGCTGCCCTCGGAACACTCTTGCTCATCCAAGGTAACGACTTTGTGACTCAGGCGTTGGGGACACACTCCTATGACAAAAGTCACGAATAAATTAAAAGTATCTCTTGTCTGCAAGCACTATGTATATGGTTTTGAAACTAATTGACTGTGCTTTTTGAAAAAAAATAATAACAGTAAATTTCAACACATTATTATAAAGCTGTAGCTTGATAAGTGATAGCTATATGCTATGCATATAAAAATATACTTTTATATTGTAACCCAGATACTGTTACATGTGAGATTAATAATAATAATGTGCTGATAAAAGTTTCAAAACCATATAAAAATTATTGTCACTTACATAGTGCTTGCAGACAAAAGATACTTCGAAAAAAAAGTTTTTTATATAATTTACTATTAAATTTTAGAACAGTCTTGTGACTTTTGTCATGGGAGTGCGAGTAGACGTTTTCTCTTTTATGAATTATGAATTATTGAGGTTGACTTTCATTTGTAATGTTCATATTGTGTATTCCACGTTATCTCTTATCTCTATTCATCGCATATTATCTCCACTATATTTCATCACATATTAATATACTCATCCCTCAATACCATTTCGCCATCGCGGAGAAAGTGCTTAATGAGATGAATGCAAAACTGAATGAACTCAAAAGACGTTTCAACAGTGTAGAGATGTTCACTATATCCTCTCTAAACACGCAAAAGAGACATAAGCTTTCAACACGTTACAGTGTGAAGGAACAAGTGAAATGGATAGCGTTTGATGACTTACCGACATTCGGTAACAGGCCATCATTGTTTCAATGGGATGAAGGAAATGAGGATTCGCATGCCACAAGATATACAAACTACATCCGAAATGATTTTCTCGATGCAGATTACCTCAACGGATACGAGGTGAAGGATGTACATGCAAACGAACATTACTGGAAGACTCAATTTCTCCAGGGTACAACAGACGTCGTTGTCTTTGAACAAATAGGCGCGTTAATGGAGCAAGACGTGACAATCTTAGCATTCGAGTTAAAAAAAGTAAGTCAAGATAGGATTAATGATAATAATGCTGCCGCAGAACTTTCACTAACACACTACAGGAAATTGTGGGAAATGATGAAAACCAAGCCATCGGCGAACTGCTGGCTGCAAACCTAATGTCTTCGAAGAGACCTGTAGTTTTGCTGACGGACCTTTATAACAGCCATTACTTTTTCTGGCTTGGCCAAACTGAATCCACGCATACTGTCACTGTCCATGGTACCAGTTTTATGGAAATTCACAAAGCTGCAACATTTGCACGACTTATACTGGTTCCTAATAAGCTATTGAGAAGAAATGCTGCATCAAAGGTAACCCGAAACCTCTTTCCTTTTGAACACAAGAGATTGGAGATTGGTCTGATGACCTCGCGTATGACGATGACATCGGAAACCTCGATGATTTCGAAGACGAGATGGGGCCTGAGGAGCGCGCTTCGTGGGTGATGACAAAGAAGCTAAGAAAATGGTTGCCACTTGTGCCTCCACGATTTCGGTACTGTGACCCTACAAGGGATCCACCACTACCACCAATAGGGATGTATAGTTAGATCTGGTCATATAAATTGTTACCTCGAACGGGACACTATTATTTACGCATGCATAGTAAAGACAACGATAGTAATTAGGAACGAAAATTTGCTTTTGTCAGCAATCTCGAAATTACAAATTGTGTGTGATCATATGTTTACACGAAGAAGCACATCAAACCCTTACATAGACTACTTTGGCTGCCATTATAATAACAGTAATAGTAAAATGGTTTGGAGACTTACAAACACTGCATTGTTGAATTAGGTTCTTGAATAATTACAGTCCCGGAAAATAATAATGGTGGTGCCTATTAAATGCAATTTCCACAAAGTGTTTACATATAAGTTAAACTTT